GATCTGGAGGTTGTCTGTTGCAACCGTTATACCTACCCTAACAATACAGCATCGAGGTAATGAGGCCAAAATCACAAGAAACAAGGCTTGAGGCACTGTAGAATTTGGACTGTGATGCATAGAGGGCAAAGGGGAGCACTTAAGAGTCAGAAATTCTTGATTTGAATCTCATACTAGCTGTGTGACTTTGATCAAGTTATTTAATATTTCTAAGCATTGCTTTCTTCAATGATAAAAATTACATAGTAATAACATGACCCACTTTATAGTATTGGTTGTGAGGATCAAATGAATCTAAGAATGTAAAAGGCCTTTGAAACCAAAAAACTACAAATGTCACTGGCTATTATTCTAACAGTTGACACATATGTTTATTAAAAATCTGTCAAGAGGCCAGGCCAGTGGCCGAGTGGTTAAGTCCGTGAGCTCTGCTTCGGCAGCTCAGGGTTTCACAGGTTCAGATCCTGGGCGCCGACATGGCACCACTCATCAAGCCATGCTGAGGCAGCGTCCCACATGCCACAACCAGAAAGACCTACAACTAGAATATACAACTATGCACTGGGGGGGCTTTGGGGAGAAGAAGAAAAAATCTGTGGAATGATTAAATATGAATGAATGAATGTGAATAAATGCATGGATGAGTTCCCAGAGCCACATCTTACTCCCGGCTAATAAAGGAAAGATGAAGGTGATCTGGACACTTTGAAATTAGAGAGGGTCTGTGGGTCTATGGAGGGAAGCAGGAGGCACAGGACTTGAGTGTCACTGAGACCCTAGACCACCCTTCTACCCAGCCAGAGGAAAATAGAGCCAAAGAACTAAGGGGTCAAAAGAAGATGGGTCAGGGGCCCTAAAGAAAAGTCCAAAAGAATCAAATTTGCCCTAAAATTATGTCAATGTTTTCCCTGTAGTTAGGGACTGAATGCGTCCACCCCAAATTCCTATGGTGAAGCCCGTAAACCACGATGTGATGGTATTTGGAGATGCAGCCTCCGGGGGTAATCACAGTTACACGAGGTCACGAGGGTGGGGCCCTCAGGATGGAATTAGTGTCCTTATAAGGAGAGACCAGAGTGGTTGCTTTTTCTCACTCTCCTCCATGTAAGGACACAGTGAGACGTTGGTCGTCGACAAGCCAGGAAGAGAGTTATCAGGAACCGAATCAGCTAGCACCTTGATCTTGGACTTCTCAGACTCCAGAAATGTGAGAAATAAACTCCTATTGTTTGTGCCACCCAGCCTATTTTGTTATGGCAGCCCGAGCAGACTGTGGCACCTACTTCCCACAGAGCCCACAGTTTGGAAACACTAGTAACAGCCTACAATAGCTGAGACGCCAGCTGCTTCTGTATGTTTGAAAGCACCCAGCAGAGCGCCTGGTACATGGCAGGTCCTCAGTAAATACTAGCCATTATGATTTTCTGCGAAAGCATCTTGTTATATTGGGAAAGGGATGGGTTTCAGAATAAGTTTGTTCTGAGAGACCTTGGGCAAGTCACCCTTAGAGTTTCAGTTTCTCCGTCTGAAGCATTTGACAGCACCTTGCACGTTAGTGTGACAATTTGATGGGTGAAAGCGCGTCTCATATAGCAGGCTCTCGGCTAGCAGTAGCTCGTCAAAGCATCTCACGAGCCCAGGACCAGCTTCCCGTTTATTATGCATCAGGCACTGGGCTAGAGAAGCGATACCTGAGTTAGCACTTTTAGAAAAGAGAAAAGAGACTTTAAACTTCAGGAAGATAGGATTCATTTCGCAGCAGCTCCTTCCACAGCCTCTAGAGAGCCTTCCAGAGACCACATCACTCTTCCCCTGGTCCCAGTCAGGAGTTCGCCTGTAATCTGAAAACACCAACAGTCCCAAGATCTCACAACCTCACTCGGCAGCATTCTTTAATCCCCATAACTGTCACTTCCACGGGTCTTCACAGTATTAGGCCCCTTGTTAAAAAAAAACATCGTCAGTGACTAACTTCCTATTCCTCACGGGAATCAAGTCCAAACTTTTTAGCCTGACATACGATTGGTTAGGAAAACACTAGCTACTATAAAACACACAGCCCAAAACTTTAGTGCTGTAGCAAAACACAAGTGATTTATTGGTTCAGTGAAGTCCAAACGCATGTTCCTGATTAGCAGGCAGTTAGTTCTCTGCCAAGTGGTGATTCAGGGAACTAGGTTCCTTCCAACCTGTGTCCCCACATCTTTAACACTTGTACTTCAAGGCCACTGTGTTTAAGGTCATATACATCAAGCCAAAAAGGAAAGAACATGAAGGATCTCCCTCGGGAGGTTTCAAGGGCCAGGCCTGGAAGTGGAACGCGTCACTTAAAGGGAAACTGAAACATGCAGTCCAGCTGTGTGTCCAAGAAAAAGAAGGAAAGAGATTCTGATAAACACATAGCAGGCTCTGCCTCACTTGGCATTCAAGATTTGCCACCTTCTAGCTGAAACTTACCGTTCAAAGCTGATATCAGTTACCTTTCAAACTTGATACCATTATCCAGGTATGGCTATTAGTCAGCTTTGCTGCAACAGCAGTCGATCCCAAAATCTCAGTGGCTACAGCAACAAGGGTTCATTTCTGACTCATGTGTTTGTAGGCTGTGGGCAGGATGCAGCCCTCCTCCATGACTCTGGCCATTTCAGGACCCAGGCAGGAGCAACTCTCCTGTGAAAGATGCCCCTTCTAGTGGACAGAAGAACAAGAAAGTGGAAACTCACATGCTCAGACATGGCATAAGTCACATCTGTTCACATCCCATTGGTCAAAATATGAAACATGATCAAGTTCAAGTCAATGAAAGGAGACATATACTCCTTCTACAGGAGATACTGAAAGACACGTGGCAACAGGTAGGGAAGGAGAAAGTAAATAATTTCAAACAATAAATCAATCTACTACAACTGCCATCTTCCATCTGGAGTACATGATAGACAATACTAATTAATCCCAGCACTCTTTCCTCAGAATCTTTCACAACACAATGTCAGCAGTCATTACCAATAATCTAAGTTTAAAAGAAAAAAAAGTTGAAATTGATGTGCTGTTCTTATGTGACCTCCTAGGCTCCAGTAAACATTATACATTCCTACCTGTGAATCTTTGCTTCACCCTGAAATAAGCTTATCCTTCCTAGACCTTGTCCTGCCAAACTAGCCAAATCCAACCCATCCTTCAGATATCTATATTTTATATTCATTCCTTCAACAAAATGTATTGAATAGCTAGCATAGTGCCTGACACACGTATTTGTTCAATGAGTCTGCTTCAATCACCTTGTGCCTTGCATGTAAGTGCAAGGGAACATTTGTCCCCTGATTATTTAATAGCACTGTCCCTTAGAACAATAGGACTTAGCATCACCTACCAGGAGTTTCTGGGGTGGGAGTATGGTGTATTGACTACTTACGCTTGAATCCTGATTCTACCACTTACTACTTGGATGACCATAGGTAAGTCACTTAATTGTGCCCCAATCTTCATGTGTAAAATGGCGATAATAATAGGACCTACTATATAAGGCTGCCATGTTAAATGGAAAAATTCTTAGCATAGTTTAAACACATTATAAGCACCCAGTAAATGGAAGTTGTTATTATTTTTAGCTCCAGTTGAGACTGAGTTTTCTTCCAAGCTTTTATTCTGGGTGGAAGGCAAAAACCAAGAACACTTGAGACTTGGGTCCCTGAACAAGCCTCACTCCTAACCCACCCCAGACCTTGAGCCGTCTTCTCATCCAACAGCTTGTTTTCTAACTCATAAATCCTGACTAATGACATAGACATGTCACCTTAATGTTTGTGAAGCCCAGTGACTTATTGTTAAGTGCTTGGAGATCTTCAGATGAAAGGCACCCAAGGGCAGGCACAAGACACCCTATTCAGTCATAAAAGCAAAATACTACCAAAAAACTTGGAAAAGGCAGAGGCTCCATAACTTAGCGCAGCAGGGAATTACAGCAGGTACCCAGGAAGAGCAAATCAATCCTCAGACTGTAAGCCCTTAATACAAAGACAGGGAGAGAGATCATTTTGAATGCCTCAGACTACCTAGAGGGTCCCAGAGAGGGAGAGGCGGGGCAGGACGCCCAAGTCGTTAACAGGACTTGGGTTGTGGGAGGAGGGTGAATCTTTCACCTCTCCTAAATAAAAATAAGAGCAACAGCATGTATTGTCATCCTGATTAATTTAAGCCAGTTAAAAGGAAGGGCAAACCAGCCCCTGTGAGTGGCTTGTTTGCGAGTTGTGACCGGCCCTGAATTATGCCAGGCTCCTCTTTCAGCTTCGTTCTTCTCACTTCATCTCCCCCTACACACACCCCTCAGGCAATGGATCCTTTTCCTAGACCTAGAGGCCACACTGGGGGAGCCCAGTCCAGGTGTGTGAGTACTGGCAGGCCCCTGGCATTGAAACCCTCAAGTTGGACAAAAAATGTCTGCGGTGCACAAGCTGTCCCGGAGCTTAACGCAAAGAAGAAACTGCTACCACAGCCGCAGCCATCAGTTCCGGTCGCCTCAATGGCAGCGGCAAAGCACTGCACTCCGAGTCCAGCAACCCTGGCGGAGTACTACCATCTTATAGCTTTGATACTTTACACTGGTTCCTTAACCGTTCTGAGCTTTAGTTTCTTCATCTGTAAAGTGCAGATAACAATACTACCGACCTCACAGGTCTTTGTGAAAAGTAAACGGGAAGGTATACTCGAAAGCGCTCCAACACCCTCAAAGCGTTATACGCACAGACGGCGTTAGAGCCGTAACTCCTCCCCACCCGCAACCACGCACGTTACAAACCAGCAGTCACCACTAATACAGCCAGCCCCCTCCTAAGGAATCATGGGGCTTGAAGTCCTTCGGTGGACACACCCTCGTTAGCTGCCATGGACGTGAGAACTACGCCTCCCAGGATGCCATGGGGAGGCCGCCGCCACGGCCGCCCTCTGCTCCGCCCTCCTTGCGCACAGCCTCCTGGGATTCGTAGTCCCAGTTCCGAGCCGACTCCCCGGCAAAGGGACGCAGAGAAACCACAAAACCCAGAAGCCCTCGCCGCCAGTCTTCTCCCTCCCCTCCCGGAGTCGGAGTGCTGTTTTTGTTGTTGGTGAAAGGTGAGGGAACAGCTGATCCGTCTGTGGGGTAAGAAACTTGGCCTAATTTGGGGGCGATCTTATGGGGGGTCACCCCGATTTCCAGTCTCTGAAAGGATAATGTAAGAGAACTGTAGAAGGGGGATGCAAGAGCGTTTGTCTTTTAACACTTTCCGTACTGGGGATGCCACCCCTACTGTTTTGGGGAGTTCTTGGTCTCGAGAGGGCCCGAATCAGGGGGTTGCCCCTCATTGTTCTCACCTACCTCTCAGTACTTCTCTAGAAAGCCTGATACGCTTCAGGGAGTTTGGGGGAGGTGAAATTTTGGTTCATTCGCTCCCAGGCAAGACTTGGCCCCTACAAACCTTCCCTTTCCCCTTGCCCCCGGCACCCCCGACCAAAAACCTTTACCACGCTGGATCCCTGGAGAAAAAAACCTCCCAAGTTGTAGAACGTCAAGGAACTCTAGAGCCCTACAGAGTGGGGGGTGGGACACCCCCCTCGTGTGAACACCTGAATCTAGCCACACACATACACTTTAGGTGCCCAGAGCTTTCTCTTCAGGCCTGGGGAATGTTTCCAGCTGTTATGGATTTTATTTGTGGGGAGTAGTGGGGGATCACCAGGCTTAGATCTTTAGTGACAATTCATCCCCTTAGAAAGCCAGAGGAATTGTGTTTGGAGGAAACATGCACTAGTTTTAACTAAGGATTTTTCAGAGAGATGAAAATCCAGAGAAACCTCTTGTTCTCTAGTCAATCTCTGTTTTGGAGGGAGAAGTTGCTCCTTTTTGTAGAGCTGGCCCACCTTTCCTTTTGTACTGTGTTTCTGTCTTTTAAAGTTCCTACCCCTCTGATTTCAGACTGGTGTGGGTTTGTGATGTTTAGGGGCATGCACATGACTAGTGGCCATGGCTGATTGGATGCTGTCAGCTGGGGCTGACACAGGGTGAAGATTAGGGGGCTGGAGAGATGATGATGGTCATCTCACAACTCTGGGCTGAGGAGTTCTCTTAACTGTTATTGTTATCTTTCCTCACCCACCCCCAGATTTTCCAATTAACTCTCCCCACTAGCTTGGAACACCTCTCCCTGTCAATCCCATCCTATAGCATGCCTCCCACTACCAATCCAAGCAGATGGAAGGATTCAGGCACTTGGAATTGAGGCCGAGGGAAGCAGAGGGAAAATGGGGCGGGGAACACTAGAGCTGGGTTGACGTACAGTCGAACCAGCAGGTTTCTAGTCCCACTCCAGGCAAGACCCGAAGAGAAGAATGTTAGGGTTTTTTTGAACTTTCTCTCCCTCCTCTCAACATTATATATACATTTTCCCCTTCTCAGAGCCCCTTACTTCCCACCTTCCAGTCTGTGCCTTGGCCAGGGGCGGGGCTTTCCTGGCTCCAGGCCCCCACATTCCATCTCCCTACACCACCACGTTCCTGCCAAGTGTTTCGCTCCACCCTTGAAGCAGCCACCTCCACAATTCTTGACTTCCTGGAGTAATGAAGTTGAGGGACAGAACCTGTGTTTCTATTTATCCTCCCTTTCCCTTTGTCTCTTGGATGAGAACGGCAGCTTTTTTCTATTTATGGGGATAGACAGCTTTGAGATGGGGAGAGCACGGAGAGTTCAGGGGCCTGAGAATTGGGCTCTTGTCCTCCCAGCCATATTCCTGCTCTGAAGACTCAGTCATTACTTTCAGAGGTTATTGCTGTTTTCAGGTGTCATAAGTCATTCCTGGGTACAGCTGGCGTGGGCACGGAGACCTGCTCAGAATGAAGGGGCTCCCCCACCTCAGTTGGATTTTGAATTCAAAGGCCAGAAGATGTGAAGGATGGGACAGGGAGATGGAGGCTGATGAAGGACGTTAAGAGGTGGAAAAGGAGGGACTGAGAGGGGCAGAGCCTGGGATACTGAGATTTGGTCAGTGGGGCTGTGAAAAGGGAGCAGAAATTAGAGAGATCTCAACTCTAGGAAGGGTCTGTGACTCAGAGAGGATGCAGTGTGAGACAGGATGGGGACTGACTCAGAAGGCCAGACCTATGTCCTGGAGTCTAAGAATGATACCTCTAAGGGTATTATAACCCTCAGGGGCTGGAAAGCAGATATGCCTTCACCTCCAGGTGTAGTGGCAGGGGCTGTGGGGGTGTGGGGATGGAGTTGGGGGAGAAAGATGGCGTGGAGAGACTTTAGGACATTAACCCTTTGTTTCATAGGAGAGCATCTATCTCAAGGGCAGGATGGAAGAATCATCACTAAGCCGGGCCCCATCCCGGGGTGGAGTCAACTTTCTGAATGTAGCACGGACCTACATCCCCAACACCAAGGTGGAATGTCACTACACCCTTCCCCCAGGCACCATGCCTAGTGCCAGTGACTGGATTGGCATCTTCAAGGTATCCTTGGAACCCCTTTGGCTCAGGTTTATCAGCCATGGGTTGGTTGGGATAAGGGGAATGACTAGGTTCTTGGATTCTCTCATGTTGATAGAGAAGGGAGAAGGATGTCACACATGACAGAGGCCATCTTCTCCCTGTCTTAGCCTTGTTCTCTCCTGACACATTAGTGTCCCTCCACTTTCCTCACTCTCACCATCCTTGCCATCATAACCGCATCCTATCCCCCCGTTCAACCCCTCAGCCCTTTCTACCATCTAGCTGGTAGTTCTACCACGACACCCCTCTCCCACTTTGGGCCTTCACAGGTGGAGGCAGCATGTGTTCGGGATTACCACACATTTGTGTGGTCTTCGGTGCCTGAAAGTGCAACCGATGGTGCCCCTGTCCATGCCAGTGTCCAGTTCCAAGGTACAAGGGAAGATGGAAAACCAGAGAGAGGAGCCAGGGGGATGGAGATTTAGAAGAAGGTAGTGGGCTCAGAAACGTAAAAGTTAGGCACAGAGGACAAAGAAAAATAAGTGCTAATGAGTAAAATAAGAAATACATCTGACAGGGCTCAGCAGACACAGAATCATGGGATTATCACGGAATCATGGATTTTGAGATAGAAAGAACTGTAGAGGGCAGCTAATCCTGCCTCCAACCAAAAGGAGGAGGGGCTGGGGGTAGGGAAGAGGGAAAGGCGGCGTCATATATTGAGAAGATGGTGGTCTTTAGATTCTGAAAGACCTAGGTTCAAATCTCAGCTCGAGTATTTACAGGCTATTTGACCTTGGGAAAATTACTTAAGCTGTCTGTGTCTCTTATCTTAACCACAAAAGGGGATGATGCCTGGCTTACAGGGACTGTATGAGGATTAAAATGATACAGGTAAAGCTGTTAGCGCAGTGCCTGGTACATGGTGGCCGCTTAATAAATGGTAGAGGGTAGGTTTGGGCAGGAGAGGAAAGGGAGGGCTAGGCAGAAAGGAGGGAGAAGAGTATCCCAGGGAACAGAAATAGCCTGCAGGAGGTGGAGAGGAGAGAAAACAGTATATGGAACAGGGGGCAAGGGGCTGGAGCCACGACAGTGGATACCAAGACACACCCAGGGGGAGGAGGACCTGCTGAGTGCATGAGAGCCTGGGATCATATTGGGATCCTGGGTCTGTTCTTCCCACAGCCAGCTACCTGCCCAAACCAGGAGCCCAGCTCTACCAGTTCCGCTACGTGAACCGCCAGGGCCGGGTGTGTGGGCAGAGCCCCCCTTTCCAGTTCCGAGAGCCAAGGCCCATGGATGAACTGGTGACCCTGGAGGAGACTGACGGGGGCTCTGACATCCTGCTGGTTGTTCCCAAGGCAACTGTGCTGCAGGTGAGAACAGAGCGGCAGAGCTGCTCCCAGGCAAGGGAGTGGGAGGACAGCACTGCGAGGGCCCCTTCCCGCTTCACCGACCCCCCCACCCCACCCCCGGCTCTAGCCTCAGCCGAAAACCTCACTGGGAGTTACACACAGTCTTGTCTTCAAGGAGCCTCAGTTGAGTGTCAACAGGAAAATGTCAGGCAGGAAAGCAAGCCACCCACAGGCCAGCGTCACTCAAGATTTCATAAGAACTTTTGGAGCCCTCCTTCTCCAAGCTCTGCATCCTGCCCTAGGCCCTGGAGGAAGATGCAGAGTGTGGCGGGAGGCCACTCCAGGGAAGGAACGCTCAGAGGGAGGGGAGGATGAGACCCTCTTCAGGACAAGTGAGGAGCAAGAGCAGGTGGATAGGGCCCCAGACCCGCCCTGTCCAAGAGTGGAGCCGCTGCCCACACGTGGCTCTTGAGCACTTGAAGCGTGACTGGTCCAGACTGAGCTGTACTGTATGGGTAAAACCCACAGTGCATTTTGCAGACTTAGCATTAAAAAAGAATGTAAACATCTCAATGATTTTTGTATGGATTGTATGTTAAAATGATAACATTTTGGATACACTGGATTAGATAAAATATCCTTAAAATTAATTTTTCCTCTTTCATGTGTCTACTAGAAAGTTTAAAATTATATATGTGACTTGTATTATTTTTCTATTAGACCAAATAGAGGAGAATTAGGGAGTGAGGGCAGATGTTAGCAAGGAAGATTTCCTGAAGGAAAGTGAGGGCCAGGGCCAGGTGGGGAGGAAGTACATTCCCTTGACAGGAGGGCAGGCCTGAAGAAGGCTCAGAAGGTGAGAATGAGTACCTTGTCTATGATTTAGACAAACTCCTGCCCTCTAGAACCCTCTAAACACATGGTATCAACACAAGAATGGGAAGAAGGTATTTATATCTTACATGAGTCAGAGATGTGTGAGCTCCAGCTCCGTGTTCTGTTTTTACATTCATTATTCTCATTTAAACCTTACAACAACCCAAGCTAAGGGATTGCCTTACCGATGAGGACACAGACTCAGAGAAGTTAAGTAACTTGTTCAAAGTCACATAGCTAGTAAAAATTGTACTGGAGACTTAAAGCCACATCTGTCTGACTCCAGAACAGATGGGGTAAAGTTAGGGGAGCCATGCCCTCTTATCTGTGTGGACTGAGAAAGACTTCTGCCAGACGAGGCCTTCCTACAGGTGCTGAGCAAAGGGGCCAGGCCTTGGGTGGGAAGAGGTAAGAGAGGGGTGGGCAGTTAGGAAGGCCAGAAGCTGGTTTGTCTGCTGGGTGGCGGGCAGGATTCAGTAGCACACCAGGCCTCCCCCGACTTGCGTCCTCATAGCCTGTACTGATTTAACTTCCCAACCCCAAAATGCGTCTGCACAGTGATGGGGACCGGACCTGAGGATGGGCGCCCACAAGCACACCCCCTTTCTCATCCTGCCCCTGTAGAACCAGCTGGACGAGAGCCAGCAGGAGAGGAATGACCTGATGCAGCTGAAGCTGCAGCTGGAGGGGCAGGTGACAGAGCTGAGGAGCCGAGTACAGGAGCTCGAGACAGCTCTGGCCACCGCCAGGCAGGGGCACGCAGACTTGACGGAGCAGTACAAGGTGGGAGCTGTGTCAGGTTGGGGACGGGGCCTGGCTATTCACCCAGGGTCCAAAATCTGAACCCAGTGAAGAGGGTACAGGGGAGATGTTAGTGGGGCTTTGAGATGGTTCTGGCATCAAAGAAATAGGTTTAAGAGGTAACAGGTGGGATTAAACTGGATATGAAAGGGGACATGCCCCAAATTTGTCCTGAGACTCAGTTGTTTGAACACAGGAATGCTGGGGTAGGGCGAGGTGGCTGTATTCACCAGTAGGGGGATGTTCCCCTTCCATTTCTTTTGCAAGGAAGGTGACGGGCTGTGGGGTATGAGGAGTGGGGACAGTCAAACACTGGTATGTTCCTCCTAAGCCTTGATTCCACTCTTTGAGAGATAAGTCCCAACTTCTCTCTTCTTCTGGGGAAACCTTAATTCCAGGGGCTTTCCCGGTCCCACGGGGAGCTCACGGAAGAGAGGGACATTCTGAGCCGGCAACAGGGAGACCATGTGGCACGCATCCTGGAGCTGGAGGATGACATCCAGACCATCAGTGAGAAAGTGCTGACAAAGGAGGTGGAGCTGGATAGGTGAGGGGACCTCCCCTATCCCCGTGATTCCCCTTCATTTCCTGTGACTCTCCTGTTTCAGGCAGGCAAACCTGCTCCCTCTCTCACATGGTTCCTCTTTCCCTTCTCAGCCTCACTCACGGTATTCCAATTACGGGGGATATCTTTTTCTGCCTAGCTCTTTTCCGTCTTTCCTAATCTATTCTGTATTCTTCACCTTCAGAAATAATCGTAGTTACCATTTATTGGCCAGCAAAGGCTAAGGAGGAGCTAGGAGGGGAGGATTTGGAAGAACAGAATGGATGGAACAGTCAGTGCAAGATAAGAGAGGGTGATGGGCCGGCCCAGTGGTGCAGCGGTTAACTTCGCACGTTCCGCTTCTCGGCGGCCTGGGGTTCACTGGTTTGGATCCCAGGTGCGGACATGGCACTGCTTGGCTCGTCATGCTGTGGTAGGCGTCCCACATATAAAGTACAGGAAGATGGGCCCGGATGTTAGCTCAGGGCCAGTCTTCCTCGGCAAGAAGAGGAGAATTGGCAGCAGATGTTAGCTCAAGGCTAATCTTCCTCAAAAAAAAGAAAAAAAGATAAGAGAGGGTGGATTTTAGATTTTGCTACAGCAAAGAATAAGATTACACTCTGTTCTCACTATTAGGAAATGTTCAAACTGGTGATGCAGGAATGTTATGGAATCTCTGCCTGATAATAGGTATAAGTCCTAGAATCTTAGCGTTGGGAAGAATGTAAGGTATTTAAGAGGGTGTGCAAGAGAAGATCACTACCTCAGGGGGCAGCCCCCTGCGATATCAGACAGCTGTCCTTTTTGTATCTCTTGCCTTAAGCCAAACTCTACCCTCCTCTCACTTTCACTCATCGGTCCTGGTTTAGACCTCTGGAGCCACATAGGAGAAATTTCTTTCTTCTACCACACAGCTAGTATTTCTACCAAATAGCACCTCCCATGCCTGTCCTTCAGATTTTCACCAGGACAAACACTCTAGTTCTTTCTTTCATCAAATGACATAATTTTCTTTCATTCAGTACTGGTAGATTTGCTATCTTTTTTAACTCTTTAAGGGAAAGGGTCATCCTACCCAAGGCCCAGAGTGAAAAGTGAGTTGATCCCCAAGGCTTCTTTAGTGCAGGGTATGTTCTTGCCCTCGGGAGACACTAAATGCCTAGGTTCTAAGTCATAGGAGAGAAAAGCAAGGATCAGGCTGAGCATCTGGAAAGGATTAAGGACTTTTGAGACCAGGGGTCTGCATACTGTGGCCCACGTGCCAAGTCCAGCCTGTTTTTGTATAGCCCACAAGGTAAGAATGGTCTTGACAATTTTTGATGTTTGAAAAACAAAAGAAGAATATTTTGACATGTGAAAATTATGTGAAATTCAGATTTCAGTGTTCATAAATAAAGTTTTATTGGAACAGCTGTGCTCCTTCATTTCCATATTGTCTATGGCTGCTTCCACACTGCAATGGCAGAATTGAGTAGTTGCCACAGAGGCTGCATGGCCTGAAAATCCTAAAATGTTTACTATCAGGCCCTTTACAGAAAAAAAATCTGCCAACTTCTGATCTAGATCAAAAGTTTATAATCAATAATGACTGTCACCTGTCTAGAAAGACTGGGTTCCAGTCTCTTGATTAAGTGAAAACAACCAGGAAGCCATCAGCAGAACATTCCTTAAAGTGATACATAAAGAGAAAAGAAAAACTCCTTATTTCTAGATTGTGCTCTAGAACCAGGAATCTTGGGTGCTTAGGGCATAGAACAGGAGCATCTTGGTTTGAAGATTGAGCACCCCAGAGAGAAGTGGAGGTCTGGGCCCTGAGGAGCACCAGAAGAGGAGCTCAAGACAGGAGTCTGAGTCCTCCTTTCTCTGGTGACCAGTGGGTTCTCTGACATTCTGTACCCCACTCACAGGGTTAGAGACACAGTGAAGGCTCTGACTCGGGAACAAGAGAAGCTCCTTGGGCAACTGAAGGAGGTGCAAGCGGACAAGGAGCAAAGTGAGGTAAGGGCTCCATGTTGGTTCGCTTTCTCCGTTGTCCGTCTAGTGTTGACTGAGTCTCTTCTGAGTGCTGGGCACTGATGGGGATAAGATGTAAAGAAGCTGTTGTGTGCACTCTCCTGGGGAGCATCAGTCGTGTACCCAAATCAGGACTTGTCAAAGTGGAATATAATCAGTGTCACCAGAGAAGTATAATAGAGCATTATGATGCCCCACAGAGGTGGATGAGAGCACATCTTGTAGGGACGTTAGAAAGGGCTTTTAAAAAGGGGGCATAAACTAGCCTTCTATTTTCAAACTTTTTTAGCAGCAGAACCCTTCCTTCCTGCCCCACAATGAAGCTGACATCTTATGTGGAACCTCATTGAATAAATATAAGCGATATTTGATTACTGCAAACTTATGTTTATAAATTCAAATGTATATCATTTACTTATAAGGTGATGAAAGCAGCTAGGTCATTTTGATGGGTACCAGACTTCAAAATTGGAGGTTATGGACGGCCGTTCTGTCAGCCTCGGCAGCCAGTGTATTTTTGTGTTTCGTTTGGGTTGTACAACATTAAGAACACCTTGAGTCTCACACACAAGTAGGTGCAAATAACATGTTTTAAACTATCCGCCTTGCAATCTCAATTTGCTCTTCACTTAAATAGAAAATACAATAGAAATTTTATTCTGAGGTTTGCACAAAAACGAATTAACCTGGAAGCACATCTCATTGGAGTGGTGATCTCCAGTGTGTTAACTTGTGAGTTTGTGCATTGGCTTTTAACAGAATTCTTAATAATTTAGACGCAGTTCAAATCAAATATCTGCAGAACCTCTAAATTGCCTCTTCAGACTCCTAGGCTTCCGTGGAAGGTTATTTGAAAACCATTTGCTCAGCAGTGAAGAGTAGGTAGACTTTGGGTAGACAGGGATGAATGGAGGCCATTCTAGGATCCGAGAAGGACACAAGCAAAGGCTTAGAGTGTAGAACACTCCAGGCAGCTGAATGTGTGGGTGAAGAGTGTGAGATAAGATGGAGGTCAGACGGTAGAGGATCTTGAGTTTAGTCTTTATTCTGTCAGCAGTGAGAGGCATTGAGGATTTTCAAGTGGGTGACGTGGCCTTAAAGAACTGTACTTATAGAAGATGGATCTGATTGCCTTGTGGAAAGTGAACTAGTTGTGAGGTTATTCAGTAGTCCAAGCAAGAAATGACCAGAGTCTGAGTGAGAATAGAGGCTGTGACAATAGCAGAAGAGAGAAAATGGCTGTGAACAAGATAGCGGATGAAGGAGCAATAGGCTTTTCTGTGGGCCACTAGGCAGAGAACAGAGCCAAGCATGGCACCAGCGTATCCAGCCTGGGGGACTTGGGAAGAGGGTAGTTCCATGCACCGAAGTAAGAGTGGGAAGGCCTGGGGTGGAGTGGGAGGGAGAATATGCCGAGTTTCAGGGGCCCGTAGGACACGCAGACTGAGTTTTGATTTAAAAGGAAGAGTGGGGAAGCAGAAATGGGACATGGGATACCTAGATTCAGGCTGTAACGCCAGATACCTCATCTCAGGAGCTGGAGACTGGATGCTCAGGATTGAGTTGCTTTGAGCTGGGAACCCAGGAAGGGCTGGCAAGAGCTGAATGCTTGAGTTTGTGTTAAATCTGAGAACTGGAACCTTGACCTCACTCATCACAGTGGTTTACCTCCCTCACCACCCCAAATACGTGTATCCCTTTCCTTACCTACTCTCCCCCTCCTCCATCAGGCTGAGCTCCAAATGGCACAACAGGAGAACCATCGCTTGAATTTGGAGCTGCAGGAGGCCAAGGGCCGGCAGGAGGAGCAGAGTGCTCAGGCCCAGCGACTGAAGGACAAGGTGGCCCAGATGAAGGAAACCCTAGGCCAGGCCCAGCAGCGGGTGGTGAGTGAAGACCCCTAGGCAACAGGAAGCAGAGAAAGTTCCACGGGCTAGTTGTAGAAAAGTCTGGAGAAAAGACATGGCTGATGACTAAACAAGCAATCCTGAGTCCCGATGTACAGGGGGGAGGAGGGAGGCTGGGTACCTTCCTGCTTCACAAATGATTCATTGGGAGTTCTCATCTCCGTCTCCTCCTTTGTCTTGAGACTGAGCTGGAGCCCCTGAAGGAGCAGCTTCGAGGGGCCCAGGAGCTTGCAGCCTCTAGCCAGCAGAAAGCCGCCCTCCTTGGGGAGGAGTTGGCCAGCGCAGCGGGAGCCAGGGACCGCACCATGGCCGAGCTACACCGCAGCCGCCTGGAAGTGGCTGGAGTCAACGGCAGGCTGGCTGAGCTCACCCTGCACTTGAAGGAGGAAAAAAGCCAGTGGAGCAAGGAGCGGGCAGGGCTCCTGCAGAGTGTGGAGGTAGAGGGACAGGGGGACCTGGCAAGCTCATAGCCACGGCCCCCACCTCTGTGTGGCCAGATCCCTTGGGAGGAGACAAAGGGGCGTGGAACCTTAGAGGCCTTAGGGGTTGGGAGGGGCTGCGCAGGAGGAATACTTCACTGTCCAGGTGTGACCCATCCCTAAGCAGAGTGTCCCAATCCTGATCTCCATGGCACTTTCCTTGGTTACCATCTTTATTCAGAAACATTTACCATCCTAGGCACCCTGCCTTGCCATAATGCCCATTCCTGATCAGCAAGGTGCCTTGCTGTCAAGTCCCTTCCTTCATTTGGGAAGTATAGGAAATGAGGAAGGCAAGAAGGGGAAATTGCTCCCCACATATTCCATTAAATAAAGGAGGGGACACCGTGAGGGATGGGGCTGTTGCCAGTGGTATCCCTTTTTCATCACCTTTACCCTTCTATATTCCTTTTTGGCCAAATCCCAGGCAGAGAAGGACAAGATCCTGAAGCTGAGTGCAGAGATTCTTCGACTAGAAAAGGCAGTGCAGGAGGAGAGGACCCAGAATCAAGTGTACAAGACTGAACTGGCCCGGGAAAAGGATTCTAGTCTGGTGAGATGCCCCGCCACCCATGAGTCCTGGTCCTTGGCCTCCTGAGACATCAGTGCCCCTTCCCTCTGTCTTGAGTGTGGACTCAGAAGAGCCAGGTGCTCACTTATCTGTTGGGCGGCATCTCACTTGCACACCTCCCAGCCCTCATTGGTTTGAAACATGCAATGTTCCTTTCTGCTCTCAGGGCACACATTCTAGGCCTAGTGAGAATGACTTAGGAGAATTACAGAGTGCCCCCACTATGACCCAGGCCTCTGCACCCAGCCCAGAAGCAGTCATCCAGGTCTACACCCAAGAGGCAGACACTAGGACTCAGGTGACTGAGTCTCCTGTGGCCAAGACAAGGGACTCACGGGAGAAGAACGTTGGGGCTTCCTCTGTGTGTGTCGAAGCAAGAGAGGAGCAAAGGCACAGAGAGATATGGTTCTCGGTTGTTGGGTCCAGGTCCTAGAGCCCAAGTTCTGGGAGGTCCATTCTAGGCTCCAGATCCCATCTGAGCCCTTGCCCTCAGGTGCAGTTGTCAGAGAGCAAGCGGGAGCTGACAGAGCTGCGGTCAGCCCTGCGCGTGCTCCAGAAGGAAAAGGAGCAGTTGCAGGAGGAGAAGCAGGTGAGACTCCATAACTCAGGTTCCCCGGATGCCAGAGTTGAGGACCTGAGGGCTAGGAACTTTGTATCTTCTTGTCATCTCTTGGCTTAGAGACTGGTATCTCTAAGAGTTTGGCCCAGAGGCTAAAAATGGGACCATGGCGCCTTCTGTTAGCTGACTTGGCAGGACAGTGGAGGATTGCTGGGCACAGGGAGGGATGGAAGGGTGAAGGAGGGCTCCCGGGGGAGGCGGTGAGGAGCTGCCTCAGGCTGTCCCGCCCTTTGGTGAAGGCATCTAATCCTAAGGAGTTCAGAGTTCATCTGGGATGCAAGGGAAGCAGGGCAGCAGGGCTGGCACCCTCCCAGCCCTTCGCACCTCCCCAACTCCAGGAACTGCTGGAGTACATGAGAAAGCTGGAGGCCCGCCTGGAGAAAGTGGCAGATGAGAAGTGGAATGAGGACGCTGCCACAGAGGACGAGGAGGGTGCTGCGGGACTGAGTATGTACACCCCCAATCTGGTGACACCTCCTCCCCACTCCACCTCCCCACGTTGGGAAAGCTCCACGTGACCCCTCTGGGAGCTGCCTCTGCCGTCTGTGTGTGCCTTTTTGCCTTCGCAGACCCTGGCCTGTCTAGTTTAACTGTATCCCTCATGCAGAAGAGCCAGAGCTGATCCAACCCTCTAACAAAGCATCCTTTCTTCTCTGCCCGCTCCCTCTCCCACAGGCTGCCCAGCGCCTCTGACAGACTCAGAGGATGAGTCCCCAGAAGACATGAGACTGCCACCCTATGGCCTGTGTGAGCACGGAGACCCAGGCTCCTCTCCTGCTGGGCCACGAGAGGCTTCTCCCCTAGTTGTCATCAGCCAGCCGGCTCCCATTGCTCCCCACCTCTCAGGGCCAGCTGAGGACAGTAGCTCTGACTCGGTGAGCAGGGAGAAGAGACAGAGCAGGGCCAGGGAGGAGGAGGTAGGGCCTAACCCAGGTGGCCCAGCCTCCAGAGCAGGAAGTCTTAGCCATACAGGGCTCTCTTTCTTTGTTAGGGGCTAGGAGACAGACCCAGCCTCTCCAAAGGCACCCAACGGACACCACCCCAAAACCCAGTCTTACCCATTAGCCTCACTGCTGCCAGCCCCTGCTCCCCACTCATTCTCTTCTTATCCACTGGCCCCCACCAGAACACCTCTCCCACCCACTCTGCCTGTAGCCCTCTGCTCTCTGTCCCGCCCTAGGCTCCTCTTCCCTTGCCTGTCCCACAGCTACTCCCCCATCGTGGGACGCTCCCCTAAAATGGAACCCTATCTTTTTGGTGCCCAGGAGGCTGAAGATGAGAAGTCAGTCCTGATGGCAGCTGTGCAGAGTGGGGGTGAGGAGGCCAACCTGCTGCTTCCTGAACTGGGCAGTGCCTTCTATGACATGGCCAGGTGGGTGCAGAGGGAGGACAAGAGGGAAGTGGGAGGATGCCAGTAGAAAGGACATCCAGATGAACAGTCCCCATGCCCTTACCCCGACTTCCCTCTTCTTGGCCTCAGCCAAGAAAAGGAGACAAAGGTGTGGTTGACACAGAAAATTAGCCAGCACTCCAAATCCTAGGTGCGTCCAGGTAATCCCTGCCCCCATCTTAATGTACATGTGCACTCAGAGGCCCTGCCTTTAACTGGCTTCGTGTTGTTCTAGCACCATCTTCCATGGAGCCCAAATTGCCCTGCATCCCCTCTCTCCTGTCCCTCCCCCTTCCCCAGCCACCAGGTAGGTACCTAGGCTCCATCGGGGAGGAAGGGAGGTGACCAAGGCCCCCAGGGACAGGAACAGAGAGAAGGCTGGGATTCAGCATCCTACTGGCCATCTCTGAGATGCTGTCCCTCTTTCCTGCCTTCCCTGGGGGACCCTCTGGGCAGTGAGGCTTGCAGGGGTGGGGGTTCAGGTATCAGATTGGCCCCCACTGCATCCCTTTTCTTCCACAGTCAAGAGGGGAAGGTAGGGGGAAGAGAGATTTTATCATCTCGCCCCTGGCTTTGCCTGGATGTGAGATGGGCTCAGGCAGGAAGGGGGTGATGCTGTCATTCTTCTTGGCTGGAGCAGGAAGATGAAGGACGATGTCAGACTCATTTTCAGCCTCATTAGGCAGCAGACGGAGATGGAGGGAGGAGAACAGGAGGTTGGGGGATGGGCTCTGCACTACAGCAACCAGCAGGGACTGAAGAAGAGAGGGCACAGGGAGCCAGGAAACTAAGGCTTCCAACATTCTGGGCAGAAAGATGCTGTAGAAGAGGCTAGGAGAGAGAACTACTGGGAGCTGCATTAGGAACAGGGTAATCTGGGAGCCCGGGTATATGGGTCCCTCTCCCTGAGGTCCGCAAGTCAAGAAGGCAACAGGGCTCACTGACCCTCTCCTTTCCCCTCTGTCTTTCTTTAGTGGGTTTGCAGTGGGTCCCTTGTCAGAGGCCAGCACTGGGGGCCCTGCCACCCCCCCGTGGAAGGAGTGCCCTATTTGTAAGGAGCGCTTCCCAGCTGAGAGTGATAAGGATGCCCTGGAGGACCACATGGATGGACACTTCTTCTTCAGCACCCAGGACCCTTTCACCTTTGAGTGATCTCACCCTCCCCAGTACATGCACAAAATACACACTTACACACACACACATTCATGCACATACACTTATGCCCAACACACTGGGGCTCCATGATATTCTGTTCCCTAAGAACCACTCCCGTGTGCCGTTCTCATCCCAAGCTTTCCAACTTCATCCTCTCCTCCTGGCTCTTTTGTCCAGGCAGGGGTCCTTCTTGGAAGCAGTGGCTGAATTTACCCCCTGAAAGCGGTTTGGGAGGAACCAGGATGGAGGAGGCCTTCCCCAAGAGGAAGAGAATCACCGTCTCCTAGCCCTGGTTGCTCTGTCACTCACACCAGCCCCACACCACCACCACCACCACCACCACACACACACACACACACACACTCACACACACACACTCACACTCACACTCACACTCACACACTCTCTGATGCCCCAAAGCCAGTCCCTGGGGCCCACACCCTCTTATCGGAGGTCTGTGTTTGTTTACCTGACTTTTCTCGGGCCTCCACTGAGGCTGCAGCATGGACATCACGACCTCTTCAGGTCTCTTTCGGTTCTGAGCTTCATTGGTTCCTCTTTCTCTCCCCTACCGTGGCCTTCCGCACCCCAGCCCAGCCCCTTCCATACCATTAGGTATTAAGTTTGGAGGTTTCTTTTGTATGTTTGAGGTTTTCTGTACTCTATCTCCTGCCCTTCCCTGCCACACCGCCGCCCCCCATGTCCTCACATGGAAAGAAATAATGCATTTGTGCCTTCGGTGAGGGATGGGGGGAACAAATGGTCCCAGGTGTCCCCATTTCCCAGCCCTTCCTCCCGCTCCAGGTTCCCCCACAGCAATAAGAGCTTTCCCCAATGTCCCTCCCCCGACCTGTAGTTTGGACAAATATATTTATATGGTATGTGTAACTATTCTAATAAAATGTGTTCTTATCATGAAGTGTGCCTAGAGGAAAGGTTGTCCGGACAGCTGGCTCTTGGGGGCGGGGAGTGTGGGAGTAGGTGGGGGCTCCTCCCTGCTTCCTGGGGAGGATACCAGGCAGTATTTCCCACTGTGCCTCCTGGTGAGCTGGCCACCAGTGGGAAGAGGAGGAGGGAGGAACCTTTGCAGTGGGGAAGGGAGGAAACTGATGGGTCTGCCCTGGCTCTGCTCAGAGTTTAGTCCCAGCGTGGGATGGGATGGGACCCAGGGTTCTGGGCCAAGGTGCGTGTCTTGGAAGGTGGGGGAGGTTTCCACTGCTCAGACTTTCACCCTTTGTAACAGCCATCACTGTACCTGCCCCAGGGAACAGGCATTACTCCTGTTAAGAGTGCACACCTTGGGGCCAGCCCGGTGGCGCAGCAGTTAAGTGCGCATGTTCCGCTTCTCGGCGGCCTGGGATCCTGGGTGCGGACATGGCACCACTTGGCACGCCATGCTGTGGTAGGCATCCCATGTATAAAGTAGAGGAAGATGGGCATGGATGTTAGCTTGGGGCCGGGCTTCCTCAGTAAAAAGAGAAGGATTGGGGGCAGTTAGCTCAGGGCTAATCTTCCTCAAAAAAAAAAAAAGTACACACCTTTGAATATCCACTTAGTAAAACACACCCTAAACCCTCTACCTCTAAAGACTATTTGATATTCTTCCCATCCCTGCATGCCTCTCTCCCTCTGTTGCCATCTTCAGACATCCATATGCACGTTCTCTCTGCACAGTCACAAAAACACATTCATCCACTTTAACCAGCTTCACAGTCTAGACAGACACACGGCATCGTAAAGCATTTATTAAGGACCTGCGTGCTCACCAAGGCTCTCAGCACTGCCGGGGCACAGTCCATGCCTACAGCCTCCTTGCTCTTCGTCCCAATAGATACCTTCCCAGCCACCCTCCATTCCCTTCAGGGCTTCTGGGTGGGCCACCCACACCATTCTTTCTCCATCCACCTGAAGCCCTCCCATCCACCCGCCTTCCAGTCCCACCTGGATGACATCTTGCATCCTTCCTTCTTCCCTCACATCGCTGTCTCCTAGCAACCCCATCTCGTTCCCTGAATCCCTTCCAAGGAAATTAGAGATAATGGATCTCTCCTCTCTCCATCTCAACTCCTCTTTATTGATCCTCCTTTAATGAAAGTTAATTATAACAATGATTTAATTAATAGAATCCCTCTCTTCCTTTATTGCTTCCCGTATTAAGACTATTAATAAATACGAGCTGGGCTGACAGAGGCATCCATCACCCGCCTGGGATTCCCCCCATGCCTCCTTTCCCCTCCCCTCTGTCCCCTCCCTCTCTTGGCCTATAAACTTGCCGGGGTAGTGGGGGTTAATCAGAGAGGAATTATGAGCCAACATCCCCAGCAGGAGGTGCATTTAATGAAATCACTTGTGATTTATGTCTGGGGGAAGTTGGGGAGGGAAGATTCTGGAACCCAGACATCCTGACTTCCAGAAGGGAGGCCCCCTAGTGCAAAAGAGGAGGAAGGGAGACAGAGACAGGGACCCAGGGCCCCTGCTCCCACCCCACAGCCCCTGTCAAGCCACACACACCCCCACAAGAGCCACATGGGTAACCGCACAAGGCCATTGACACAGAAGCTGCCAGACTAAACGCCTGTGAGCATTGCAGTGTAGGCTTTGTTCTTTCTCACCTCCAGAACTTTACATGGGTCACCCTCACCTCCTTCCTTTCTCTCCATCCCAGTTCTGCTCGACCTTCCCAAACCTGCTCCGAACTCCTCTCCTCCATGAAGCCCCAGTCCCTCCTCTGACCCCTCCACCTGCGTATTTAGAGTGTCCAGCTTCTCCTTTCCCTGCCCTTTGTATGGCTCTGATGTGCAGTTTGCACCTTCAGACCAGGAGATTCCCCAGAGATTAGAGCCATTTCTCTTCCTCCCTCCTGATTTCCTTCGCCAGGACCCAGTGCATGGCCCCGGACACGGGGAGCTCAGGGAATGGTAACTGACTGCATGGGCAGGGAGGGAAGCCAGCTGGGTTCCAGTTCGAGATCTTTCTCCTGCTCGCTGTGTGGTATTTGGCATCTCAGCCTTTCTGCTGTTTCTCTTCTGTAATGGCTCATCTCCTTCCCTCTGCTTCCCAGTGTCCATGCAGAAACTGATGGACCTGAATGGACGTGAGACTCTAGTGTAAAAGGAAAAGTCAGACCAAAAATCAGCAAATCGGAACTCGGGTGTCAGTATTTGGTGAGAGATGAATGAATCCAAACATCACTCCCCCCTCCCAGAGCCTCAGTGGCTGCCTGTCACCACAGGAGCATGTAGTACAGATGGTTTCGTGTGCCAGGCAGGGTCTCCCCCATCTGTCCCAACGTGCCTCTCCATTTCCCATCCTACCCTAAGGAACCCTGGACTCCAGCTTGATAGAACCACTCCACAGAAATAGGCACCACTTTTGCATGTCTCTGAGCACATGCCTTCTCCCCAGCTCAAAAGCCTTACTTGACTTCCTTCAGTTATCCTCTGAGATGCCACGTACAGCACTTTGTAAAAACACACTACACCAAGTTTACAAGTTTTTCTTCTCTCTCAACTATAAGTAGCTTGAGGGTAGGTTCTCTGTTCATATGTCTCATGTTCCTAAAGTCCAATACAGAGACTGGCACAGAGGGCCAATCGTCCCAAAAATGACTTTTAAAATCATTTTAGGGCCGGCCCGGTGGCGCAATGGTTAAGTGCGCACGGTCTGCTTTGGCAGCCTTGGGTTTGCCAGTTCGGATCCCGGGTGCGGACATGGCACCGCTCAGCAAGCCATGCTGTGGCAGGAGTCCCACATATAAAGTACAGGAAGATGGGCACAGATGTTAGCTCAGGGCCAGTCTTCCTCAACAAAAAGACGAGGCTTGGCAGCAGATGTTAGCTCAGGACTAATCTTCCTCAAAAAAAAAAATTATTTTAATAAAATATTTTATACATACAAAAGAATATATATGTCCACATATAAGAGATAAAGAATAATAAAGTGAACATAATTGGACTTACTAACCAGCTTTAAAAATCATTACCAATACTGTTGAAGTGCCCTGTGTGGCCTGAAAGAAATGTGGTGTCAGTTGGGACAGAGATATTTCATGCGTTAATTCAAAGAACTTAACGGAGAGCTCTTTATAGGTCAGGTGCTGGGAATAGAGATGGAACAGTCAGAAACCCTGCCCTCAAACAGCTTGGAGTCAACGTAAAGCACAAACACAGGAGAGCAAGATAAGCGCTAGGTTAGCGGTACGCACAGCGGGCTGTGGGACCACAGAGGAGGTGCTTAACCAAGACTCAGAGAGACAAACCTTTCCATGGAGGGTGATGCAGAGGCAGAGTCTTAAAGAAGGAGTAGATGTGCTCAAGTGTGTGCAGGCAAAAGGAACAAAATGTGCAAAAACCTAACTCGCTCAGAAGTCCAAACATTGGGGCCTGCCCAGTGGTGCAGCAGTTAAGTTTGCACATTCTGCTTTGGTGGCCCCGGGTTCATGGACCCGGATCCCAGGCGCGGACCTACATACTGCTTGTCAAGCCATGCTGTGGCGGGCATCCCACATACAAAATAGAGGAAGATGGGCACGGATGTTAGCTCAGGGCCAGTCTTCCTCAGCAAAAAGAGGAGGATTGGCGGCAGATGTTAGCTCAGGGCTAATCTTCCTCAAAAAAATTAATTAAAATTTAAATTAAAAAAAAAAAAAAGAAGTCCAAACACTGACATAGGGCTGCTGAGTGAGGATTGTACATGATGTGTGAAGTGAGGCTGGAGAGAGGGACTAACAAAGTTTACTGATACATTCACTCAAATATCCAGTGAGGGCCCGCTCTGTGCCAGGTGCTGTTCTAGGCACTCAGAAACAGCATGAACAAAACAGATGGGAATGCCTGCCCTCACGGAGCTTACTCTCTATTACCAGATCCTGAAAGTCCAGAGAAGCCAATTAAGAACTCATTGTAATAACCCAGGCAAAAATGGTGAGCACCAAACTTAAGCAGTGTCAGAGGAAAAGAGGCACAGTTCTTTAGGATTTAGAATTAATGGGACTTGGTGATAGATAGAGGAAGTTAACAGGAGTCAAGTTGACCCCAGGTTTCTGGTTTCAGTGACCAGATAACTAGTGATGCCATTCACCAAATAAATAATACAAATGGAGAAATACACTGAGGGAAAAGACAATTGGTGTAATATTGGCCTGTTGATTTCCCAACATCTTTGGGATCTTCAGAAGGAGAGAATCCAGTAGGCAGTTGGATAGATATTTAAGTCCAGAGCTCAAGAGTTTGGAAATGGAGATAGAGACTTAAGATCCCTGAAAGTAAAAGTGATGACAGTGAAGAGTGATTACCCAGGTCTCCCTGCGTGTAGAGTGAGAGGGTGAGCAGTCCACGGGCAGCACCCAGGAGACCGTAAACAAGGAAGGGAAGTATAGAGAACTCAGAGGCACAGAGAAGACTGAGAAGGTTCAGTCAGAGAGGGAGGAAGCAACTCAGGAGAGATGAGTCAAGAAGAGAGGCCAGGGAAATGACTCCTGGAAACCACTGGATGAGAAGCCAGGAGCTTAGCGGTGGCTCAGCAAGAGGAGCGTAAGGTGAGTGTTGGAGGTGAAAGTTATTATGCAGCTGGACTACAGAGCCTGCAATAGATTCGCAATTCTTCTTACCTGTGGGAATTGGGAGTCCATCTCCTGAATCACATAAAAGCAAGAACTCCTGGGGCCGGCCCCGTGGCCAAGTGGTTGAGTTCGTGCACTCTGCTTCAGTGGCCCAGGGTTTCGCCAGTTCGAATCCTGGGCGCTGACATGGCACTGCTCATCAGGCCATGCTGAGGCGGCGTCCCACGTGCCACAGCTAGAAGGACCCACAACTAAAAATACACAACTATGTACCGGGGGGCTTTGGGAGAAGGAAAAATTTAAAAGTTTTTAAAAAGCAAGAACTCCTAAGTCAAGCCATAAGAAAAATCAAGGGCTGG